CCGCTGCTCCCGCGCTCCGCCCCCTCCCGCCGGCCTCCGCGTCCCACAATCCAAGATGGCGGGCTCCAGGCGGAGGGCTCCTCAGGCCCGGGTTCGGCCCCTTCTCTGCGCCCTGCTGCTGTCCGTCAGTCGCTTCGTCGGGGGCGACGGCGCGGGAGGGGACGCCGCAGCTGCAGGCGCCGCGGGCACCGCGTCCGCGCTGCCGCATCGCCGTTTCGAGTATAAATACAGCTTCAAGGGGCCGCACCTGGTTCAGAGCGACGGGACCGTGCCCTTCTGGGCCCACGCGGGGAGTAAGCCGGGCCGGGGGCGGGCGCCGGGGCCCCTCCTGCCCTCCACGCCCCCTGTGGTCCTGGGGGCCCCACGTGTGCGGGGGGGAGGGGAGGGGTCCCCGCTGCTGGCTTCCCTCCACTTGTCCTGGGGCGCGGGGTGAGGGTCTCTTCCCTCGGCGCCCCTGCTTCCCGGCGAGCGCCGAGCGCACTGGCCCTTCCCGTTGGATCTGGGGGTGTTCGGTTACTGCCGACACTCCTTCACCCCGGGCATCACGTTTCACCCCCTCCTGCCACGTCTCCTGGGGACACGTCTGCGCAACTCAGCCCGGTCACCCCAACCTGCACCCTGCGCCCTCGCGGCCTGCTGGGATCCACGCCCCCGAGTGTGGCCGGGACCCCTCCCTGCCCCCCTCTCGCGGCCCTGCCCACACCCCCACCGCTTCAGAGAGCATGTGTTGGTGCAACCGTAAGTTTGGAGTCTGGTGTCAGAAGGGTGACCCAGCTGTGTGGTCTTGTAGTAACGCTTCGTGTCGCTTCACGCGCGCATCTCAGTTTCGGAGAGGGGCCGTCTATTTTGGTGTTTGCTGTTTCTGAACCCCGAGACTGAGACTAGCAGGATCCCTGGAGACCTCATTTTCTGCCGTCTGGTGCCCCCGGTGTGACTGGCCCCGGAGCATTGAGCTCTGTGGGAGAAACGTCTGCGGTCTTTAGTGCTGATGTGTCACTGCTGACTAAGGGTTCCACCACCAGCCCTTGGCGTGCACACTGTCAGCTTCTGTTCAGTGACCCTTTGGAACAAGTGGCAAATGTCTCTGTCTTGCTCAGTTGCCACCAGCTTGATTCCAACTCGTGGTGACCCCGTGTGTGTTGATGGGAGGAAGACTTTTTATGGGAGCTTTAGCCTGCCCTGTACTTTCAACAAAATATGCTCATTTCTGGAAAGCGTGTACTCATAGGGGCCGTTCTTTTGGTGGGACCTGTTGCACAGGAATTCGTTTGTAATTAAAGGGCATACATTTTAATGGACATGAATAGCCCAGTCATTACGTACTTGAAATTGCACGCGATTAGTTTGATAACCAGCAGGTAGTGTTTCCTTGTGTCCGCTCTACTCCTAGAGTGTGGTGTGAGGGTGGAGGAAGCCTTTGTTAAGGTGAGTAGATAAATCAAACAGGATGCAGCTGACACCAAACACAAGTTTGGGGGTTTGTTTTCTTATTTCTGCAATGAGGATCAGTTTTTCAGTGACGAGGGTGAGTCTGGTCACAGCTTTTTACTTCGCAGACACCCATACCACCCCCAGTCTGTTACCTTGATTTTCTGTAGAGCTGATAGCCGGCTAAGCGAGTCTGCAGACCTGTGAGCACACTCTACCGTGGTGAATTACCAGTTCGTGGCTAGACTGGATGTGAGCTAAAGGGATGAGGATCTTAGCCATTGAGGCAGGGGTGGTTCCGTGGAAGGCTTCTTCCTTCCACGAGGGAGACCAGGGTTCCATCCCCAGCCGTGCACTTCAAGGGTGTTCGCCCGTCCATCCGTCAGTGGAGGCTTGCGTGCTGCTGAGTAGGTTTTAGTGGCGTCCACAGACTAGGAAGAAAGGCTTGGCAGTCTCCCTCTACAAGCAGCCAGTGGCAGCCCTGGGGATGGTAGAGGACTTGGGGCCAACCTGACAGCAGCCAACAACCGTTTCCACCTTCTCTCCAGCCATGCCCCTTCCTTCACCATTACTGTCATGATTTCAGTCTCAATTCTCTGGGCTCCACCGACTGGTCTTCCTTTTTCATTTGAACTTGAGATCCATTACTAAACAGAGAAAGTAGAGAAAACTGGCATCTAGTGTAAGCACGGCCCTGTGTTCCAGGCCCCAGTGAAAACCTAATCTTGGCTGGACTGCCCGTCCCTGCTCCCTACTGATCCTTGGGTCCGTAAGGGCAAACTGTGATGATCACAGCAACCTCTGACCCTTACAGCGCAGAGCACTTTCGCATGTATTATCTGGTGTGATCTGTCGCAGGCAAAGCAGGTGTAGTCTGTTTTCTACATGAAAAACTGATGCTCTGAAAAGTCTAGCTTCTTGGGGAAAGTGTCTTGTTTGTTAGGTGCCATCAACTCAATTCTGACTCATAATGACCCTGTGTGTCAAATTGGAACAGCCCCAGGAGGTAAATCCTTATGGACACAGATCCATAGCACATCCAGAGGCTAGAACTCGAATCCAGGTCTTTTGATTCAGTGTCCGGTGCTCTGTCCGTGATGCCTTGCACGAAGGTGATGGAAACAAAACCATGGCCAATCAGATTGCTTCTGGCATGTTGTTTTCCTACAGGTAGAGGGTGATGCAGTGGCCTGTTTCTCAGACTGGACATTCGAACTGGTCAATGTCTGGCGTGTGTTAGTATGGCTCACACCTTAGGGCCGAGGCGTACTTTTAACGATTCTGTAGCCCAGTCACTAGAGGAGTAGCTCACGGTTGTCAGAACATTCCTAAGCTCTTAACTAGGCACAACGTAGAGAAACAGACTCGCTTTATATGAGATCACATGGCCAGGCAGTAACCCGTCAGGGACCAGAGCCCAGACAAGCGATGCGCACACCGCTTGGGGTCACTGTGAACTGTGATGATATGCTGGGCTTACTGACTTGAGAGTCGGTTGGTCCTCTTCCCTAGAAGAATGTGCAGAGGCACAAGTCTTGACATCTAGTAGCACCTAGGGAAGTGGCTGAGTTTATTAGCACCTTCTTTTACAGGTGATGACCATATGGTGAACCCAAGAGAGTAAGAATTACTTGCCTCAAGCCACACAGCTGCCTTAAGACTAGGAACAATCTCTTGATTCCTAGTAGTGTGTTCTTTTCATAGTTTGAACTTTCTAATGCTGTAAGCTGGCAAAAAAAAGCTATGGCAATTGTACTTTGTTTTGTTTTAAGAATAATGTGCGTGTTACTTTTGAAGTAGTGAAAGATACAGTATGAGCCTGATTGTTGGCTTGCCTTTTAAGCCATAAATTCCTCCCCCTTGAGCCCCTTAATCCTTCTGCACAGACTTTTCACTGTAAAGAATAAAGGAGGGTTGAAACTGTCGCATGAAATTTTTTCCTAACAAAATTACTGGGCTAACAAGATCTCAATTAACTGCCACAGTTCCCTGGGGACTTGGTGGCTTTTACTTAATTCTGACATAAAGCTTTTCACTCTCGCATTTTGTGCTAGATGCCATTGCAAGTTCTGATCAGATCCGAATAGCCCCATCTTTAAAAAGCCAAAGAGGATCGGTGTGGACGAAGACAAAAGCTGCCTTTGAGAACTGGGAGGTGGAGGTGACATTCCGAGTAACCGGACGAGGTCGAATCGGAGCCGATGGCCTGGTACGAATCCGTCCCTGGTGTTGGAGGTGCGTGCACGTGCGTGCACCACCAGCTGCTGAGCACACCCTGTTGTGTATTTGCAGGCAGTGTGGTACACGGAAAACCAAGGCTTGGAGGGATCTGTGTTTGGATCAGCTGACATGTGGAATGGCGTTGGAATATTTTTTGATTCTTTTGACAATGATGGAAAGGTATGTTTAATTGTTAGAGCCTACTGTTGCCTACTTTAATCCATGAGGCTGAGAGAAACAGCTTAATTAGCAGTTTCAATCGCTCCCGTTGATATTAACTACTTAAACATTTTGAATTTGAAAGACAGAAACCTCACTGCACATCCAGTGTGATGCAGAACTCTGGCTCTAAGGACTTTAAAACAAAGCATTCTCTTTTATTTTCAGAAAAATAACCCTGCTATAGTAATTATCGGCAACAACGGCCAAATCCATTATGACCATCAAAAGTAAGTGTGTATTTTTTTACGTTACTCCTGATTTCATCTTCCTTCGAAAACCTCATGCAAAGCTGAACCTGGCCAGATGCATAAGATCTTTACTGAAGCCGGGCTTTGTGATCTGCTGGGAGAGTTGGTTTGGTTTCGGAGTTCTTTCTGGGAGCTACCTCAGATCTCAGGCCTAAGCATGTGTTGTTGGCTTCAACTGAAAAGTGGTAATAATTTTATCGACATGGGTGTAAAAATAACTCTAGCACAGCATTGGCCAGGTCACGGTTTTTCAGGTGGCCAGCGCAGTGAAGTTGCTCACCTTACTCGTGTGCACCTGTCACCCATCATTGTTGCCACAAGCTGTGCTCTCACCCTGAACGGAACTGCTACTTCCCACGTGACTCCCCTCGCCACAGCCTCCCGCCTGCCCTGTAGTGCCTGATAAACTGCGCCTCTCACGGCCGTGATGAGCAAGAGCTGCGGCACTGATTGCAAAGGGGGGTGACATGCCTGGTGCCCCAGTGCGGTCACTGGACGTGCTTTGGTGGCTGTGTTCCCGGGCGTCATCGGCATGTTGGCCACACTGCGGAGTGGGCCCTGTGTGCCGCCTGGTGCAGCCTCGTCGTCGTCGTAGCCGTTCCTGGTGTTGGGTGCCAGGAAGCCCTTCTGACTCAGCCACCCCGTGTTCAGCAGGGAGCCAAGTCACTGCCCCAGTTGGCACCGCCCTTGCAGTCCACTGTCACTGCTGTGTCACGTGGACATTGATCACAAAGCTTCTTGATAGTGGGCAGATTGTAATGTGTATGAGTTAGCACTCTCTGGTTTGTTGTTTTTCCATCATAGAGGGAGGAATTAACCTGTCAGCCAATCAGCGAACTGTCAGAACTATGCAGGTTTCCCCACTGTCCAAAAATAGAATTGCCTCTGAAGCCTTCTGTAGCCAAAAGAGTGCAAAGCAAAGAAGTGATTACCATTCATTCTGTAAGAAAAACTTTTGGACTTTCTCAGACTCACAGAAATAATCTGCCAGGCCTTCCCAAGTAACACCGGAGACCTACAGCAACACACACTGTTCACGAGATGCTTCTGAGCCCTGGCAGCCTGGTGCTGAGCTGCTGCAGCCAGTCCCCAGGGACAGAACCTGGGCCCTCTCTGTGCTGGGGGGATGTGTGCCTCTTGGCCAGCTCCCTGCCAAACAAACGCTGGCAGCTGGTTAAAGTGAACTTCCGAAAAGCAGCAGCTACCTGATTCCCTCTGCTGTTTACTCTCTCCTGCCCCAGGGCTGTCGGGAGGTACCTGGGGCCTCACCTGCTGGTTCAGCCTCTTGTTGATTGGGGCAACTGCAAGCTCGGGGGGTTGTGGTCTGACTCTGCCCGGGGTGCGGGCTTCGGCCTACACTCTGCAGCCCAGCGCCCACTGAGCAGGCGAGCCTGGGGCTTCTCAGTGTCCTGTGTGCTGGCCGGCATCACGGGAGGGAAGGAGTGCATTTCGCTGCGTGTCATAGCTTGATGGTAACGTTCCTGGACAGTGGTGGTTTCAGATCGTAGACGCTGAAACATGGGAACAAGTTCTGAAGCCTGTTTTGTTTCTTCTTCCTCTGTGCTGTAGTGATGGTGTTGATCAAGCATTAGCCAGCTGCCAGAGGGACTTCCGGAATAAACCCTACCCCGTCCGGGCAAAGATCATATACTACCAGAAAACCTTGACAGTAAGTTATGTCCTGAGAGAGGATCTAAACAGGCAGGCATGTTGGCATTGTTTACTCGGAATTATTGATAGATACTAGGGGCCCTTCCGTGTGGTATTGTCCCGGTTGTATCTCAGCAGTGTTACTATAGAGACCCGGTGGCCACCCAACCAGGTGGACGTGGCCAGCATGGCCCAGCCATTGCCCATGAGGGTGTGTGTGCAGTCTGAACTTGTGAGCACCCTCCACATGTCCAGCGCTCTGTACCCATGTGAGCCTTCCTGGTACAGCTGACCATATTTGCCATGTTCTCTGTACTTACACCCTGTGATTGGTGATTCTTCCTCGAAGGGGAGGACCCGTGACTGAGCTCACCGCTGGCTGAGGCAATCAGCGTGCTTCTCAGCCAGCTGTCAAAAGCACTTATGAATCACACCTGTAAGTGTAAGCACTGCCCTGTCCACCTTCCCTCTGCCCCCCTAAAGGAAACCGAGCTTATGGCCCCTCATAGGCAGCCTCCTGGGGAGAAGGTGAGCCATGCCTGGTTTCCAAAGGCTTTGACTGAGATGAGTGAGAAGCCCTTTATTTTTAAGCTTGTTGTACATAGTGGGGGAAACCCCTAGACAGTGAGTGGGCACCTGGGGTGGGAAGGGGGTTTTACCTGCGTGCTCAGGAGTGGGACAGCTTCCTGGCAGTCGGATGAGAGGGGCAGAACATTGACCTTGGGCTGGATAGGGCTAGACATAAAAAATGGACTAATTGCGATGCATGTGACAAGTGTCTTTTGCAGAAGTGACAGCCCCGGTATGTCTTCCTAGGTGATGATCAATAACGGCTTCACACCCGATAAAAATGATTTTGAATTTTGCGCCAAAGTGGAAAACATGGTGATCCCGGCACAAGGGTACTTTGGGATATCGGCTGCGACAGGAGGTCTTGCAGGTAAGTCGTGCAATGTAAGTGCTCCTGGGCTGGGCTTCATTAGAAATGGTTTATCTTTGGGGAGTGTGGCCTAGTTGGAACCCTCCCGTAATCTGGGGTGCCAGTCTTTCAGTCTGTCAGGACTGCCCACCCTCCCTCCTTCGACTTGCCTCATGTGAGAGAGTTGCATTCTGGGAAACATGGATTTGAACTACATGCCAGTGGTGGGCGCTCTCCTTGAGGGAGACAGTCCCACAGAGACTGCAGAAAGCCAGGGGGCAGGGTCCCAGGAGTCATCACAGCATGGATTTGGACAGCCTGAGAAAATATTATTTGGGGACTCGCCTTTAAAACTACCATATGATGTTCCTGCTGTCTTAGGTTATATGATACATTGTAATTTTAAAGTAGTTTAAAGTGTATGGATTATACCTTACAAGACCCAGGGGCGGGGGGAGGGGCCAGGTTGCATTCTGCCTGACTGTAGAGGAGCTTGCCCTGTCACCTGGACAGGGATCCGGGGGCTGGCTCCACTGCCCTGCCTCTCCTCAGATTTCCCAGCACGCATTGGCCTCTTGTGGCTTTTTCTGGGGTACCCTGATAGTGACAGCGCAGACATTGCCACGCAGCCCAGGTGAACAGCTCCCAAGCGTCGGCTGTGATGAGCTGCAATTGGCGTTTGAGTTCCGTATCAATGAAGTTCAGCTAAAACGGAATGACTGGCACCTGCTGTGTGAGGGAAGCAGGTAGGAGTGGCGTGTAGGTGATTCACTGTCTATGCCAGGCTCTCAAAGGGAGAAGAGGGCCTTTCTCAGACGGACAGCAGTGAGCTGGCCAGAGCTTTGGTTGGGGTGCGCAGTCAGGTAGGACAGGGCTGGGTGGAGCTGGTCATTTGCTCTTTGCTTCTAAGACATCTGCATGGTCAGTGCTGCTCTGAGCTGGTTTAAGGTTCTGGGAAGTGGGTTTTGTTTCTAGTAGGAACTCTTTCGGCTAAGCCCTATCTTATTTTTATTTTCCTCATGATTTCTTTAAAGCCGTAAGGATGGACAAGCTGAATGCATAGCTACGAGTAGAGTCTGTAACTTTGCATCGCACTTTTGTCTAGGCTGTTTCTTCTGTTTTTAATGCTTAGATGACCACGACGTCCTCTCTTTCCTGACGTTCCAGCTGACTGAGCCTGGGAAAGAGCTGGTGAGCGCGCACCCTTGTCGACCAGCATAGCTGGGGGGCTGGGACTCGGAGGCCGGCCTGGCTTTGGGTCTTGCGTCTGCCTCTCTCACTGTAGCCTCTCTTGCACTGGGTGGAAGCCTCTTGCCTCAGGGGTAGAATAAAGACGCTGGTCCTGGTGCCTTGTGGTGCTAGTAGGTAGATGAGCCTCTGTGTGTGTGTGTGTTTCCCTTCACACACTCATGGCTGTGGAAGCCTGCATGGAGCAAGTGGACTGGTGCCATTTCCCCACAGCACGGGCTTGCCTGGTGGGTCCCATGGCGTTGCCCTCAGCGGGTTGTGCTGTCTCGCGTGTACTAGACGGCAGCCTGTGTGCCTTGTCATCGCTGAATTCCAGTGGTCCCACGGCCCTCCTGCGGTTAGAATTAGAACTGCCACGGGTCATACGGCTTTCATGTCGCTCTTTGTCTTGTTTCATTTCTTTATTTCATCCCGTTTCTTCTTCAATGTCCTAACAGCCTACACCAGATAAAGAAATTTCAGAAAAAGAGAAAGAAAAGTACCAGGAGGAGTTTGAGCACTTCCAGCAGGAACTGGACAAGAAGAAGGAGGAGTTCCAGAAGGACCACCCCGACCTCCAGGGGCAGCCGAGTGAGTGGTGCTGCGTCGGCCCCTGCCACAACCACAGCACGGGCTTTGCTGCTCCCGCCCTGCCCTCTGACCTGGAACAGTTTGTGAACAAACCTCTGCTCCTTAGAGTAAGGTGACCAGACTTTAACATTGGTAAGGTGGGACACCATTGATAAAACTCATATCCTGGCGAAATAGCCACATGGCAGCCGAAAACTGTATACCCTAGCTTGTCGTGCATTCTTTTCAAAAATTGGGACTTTTTAAAAACTGCCGCGGGATGCAGGAAAAATTGTTAGAAATCGGGATGTCTGGTCACCTTACCTTAAAGGGCCTGGCGGCTGCAGTGTTACCACAGAATGAAAACACCACACAGAAGGGGGTTTTGTTTACTGCTGTCTCCCCAGATCTGAGACAGACCATGCTGGCACCCCACCCGCAGTCGAGACGCTGAGCAGCTAGTGCTCTCGCCTGAGGCACAGCTCCTGTCAGTCCCACCACAGCAGTGTATGTGACAAGAGCCCCGGGCTCTGGACAGGGCTAGGAGCTTGAATGTTGTCAGCCATTTGGTCTAAGCCAGAGGGGTCAAACTGGTGGCCCCAAGGTAGTATTTTGTGGCCCATGATGCTCTGAAATAAAGTGAAAATAGCACTTAGGGGAGAGCGAGGCGATACCGTACACACAATTGTCTCATTACATTTATTTCAGAGCATCGGGGGCCGCATATGGCCCTCGGGCCTCCAGTTTGACCCCCCTGGTCTAAGCCAACCTAATTAGGCACTTGGTCTGCTCGTGTGGAAAAGAGCACGCCAAGAGCGGGTGGAGACACTTGCTGTGACCGTCACCGTGCCATGCGCATGTCTGAGTGAACGTAGCTGTCTTCTACATAGGCCGGTACAGGGGAGTCAGCTGGTCTCGACGCTCCGCTCCGCATGACAGCGAAGTGTCTGCAGCATGAGTGTGGCGCGGCTCCTGGAAACGGAGGAAACGACAGGCCTCGGGCCGTTGGAGTAGCCCTGCGTGTGCTGCTCGGTTAATGATGGTCTCCTCTCAGTGCCTGGAGGCCCTTAGCACTGTCCATCGTGCAGGCGGTTCCTCCGTTTGATTTGCTCTGTCTTTCTCAGCGGAAGAAATCTTTGAGACTGTCGGGGATCGCGAGCTGAGGCAGATCTTCGAAGGGCAGAATCGCATCCACCTGGAGATCAAGCAGCTCAACCGACAGTTAGACATGATTCTAGACGAGCAGCGGAGGTACGTCTCCTCTGTGACAGAGGAGCTCTCCAAGCGTGGAGCCAGCCTCCCAGGGCCACCGGGACAGGTGAGCCCTCCCGGGCCGCTGGGCTGCAGGGTGGGATGGCGGAGCAGGCTGCTCACCCCAGGCTTTCTTTGCTCAGATCTCTCAGCAGGAAGTGGACACTGTGGTGAGAACGCAGCAGGAGGTTCTCAGACAAGTGAACGAAGTGAAGTAAGTATGTGCTGAGACTGGGTGACTTGTGACATACGATCCTAAATCCACGGCTTCTGCAGGGCTGTGGGAGAGCCCTGGCAGCCTATGGGTTACCCATTGGGCTGCTAGCCACAAGGTCGGCTGTGTGAAACCCGCCAGCTGCTCTTTCTTCCCCCACAAAGAGGCACAGTCTCCAAAACCCACAGGGGCAGCTCCGTGCTGTCCTGCAGGCCAGAGTGTACACGGCGGCAGTGAGCTTGTTTTGGTTGGGTCTGCGGGCACCCAGAGCGCCCTGCATGAGCATAGGAACCCCTCCCCCCACCCAGGGATGAGTTCAGTCTTGGACCTTAAGGGTAGTTGAGGTCCTTCCTCCTGGGGGTCCCTAGCTAACCAGTAAGCATGGTCTTTTTTTTTTTTTTTTACTGATTTTGCGCTTTGTTCTCCATTTTTCTCCCACTCTGGAGACTGAGGTTTTCGCAGTGCATAGTCCACTGGACTATTGTTTCCATGTTTTCAATGTTCTTCTCTGCTCCAGAGCGACCCATGGTGGCAGCTTAGATGGTCACTCCCAAGCTTTTAAGACCTCAGTTGCTCTTTGCCAGAGGATGGACAACATTGTCTCTGTGTTCCCAACTGACCCTTCAAGACGCTGGTTCTGAGCCCCTAGGCTTAGCAGCCTAGTTTCTCGAGGTGTTGGCCATGGTGAAGAAGTTTCTCTACCATAGCTTTGCTCCCTGTATGCCCTATTATACGCTCAATGACTTCTGACATGTAGAAACCAAAGGTCTGAATTTTCAGATTGTTCGTACCTGAAAAAGAAAAGGTAGAAAAACCTTTAGCCTCTTAGGAAAAGAAATATTTTCCCAGCCACGAGGCAGAGCCAGATATAAAGAGAAACAGAATTGGGGTCATACATTATAACTCTGTGAAGGATGTGAGGGGAGGAAGCTGATAGCAGTGGGACTCGCTAACACAAGCATTGTTGAGGCAGGAAATTCTGGTGGACAAAAAAAGAGCAGTTGTTTCACAAACCGTCCAGTAAGAACTGGACACGGAGGTGGAACATGAGTGCTATCCTTGGAACATTGAGTGACGTGTTTCTAAGAAGAAGGACTTACTGATGCAGATAATTAGTGGCTCTCAAGGCCACCATGAGTAATGGCCTTAATAAATAATACCCTGCCAGGGTTGTGCCGTTGTTAAAATGATCTTTCATTTGTCCCCTCCTGTCGTGCATATCCCCAGGGCAGGCTTGATGCCCAAGCTCTTTATCTTGCACCTGAGCAGTGGACGCACACCTTGGGTGAAGGGGTTCTGTTCTAAAGTCAGAGAAGAAGACAGTTGTAGACAGTCACGTCACACTTCAAAAAAGACAGTGAGCTAGAAAGCCATGCCGTCTCCCACCACCCAATAAGTTGTTCAACTCTGTGTGTGATTGGGTTCCAGCTGGAGCCCATAGCTTGTCTCTGGGACCATCTGCTAGAACTGGGGGAGTCCTGAGGTTCTGACTCAGAAGCAGCTGTCTCCATGGCTAGAATTTATCACAACAAATGATAGCAGTAAAACTTGACAGCGGGAAAAGGGCATAAGGTAGAGGGCAGGGGAACCAGGTGCGAGCGTTTGTTGTCCTCTCAGTGAGGTCATAGGGCCATGCGTCATTTCCTCAGCAGCCACAGTCGTCCGCACCATGGAAGCTCACCTGAGCCTGGTCTCCGTAGTTTTGTCAGGAGTCACTCCTGTTGGCATGGGGTCCCTGGGTGCTGGCCTTGTCTATCACCCAGTTCTCTCAGGGTTCAAACCGCTCCAGACCCCAGGCTGCCAAAAAAAAAGTTCTGTGCGTCACTATGTCTTATAAACTGCTGGACAGCCCAAGGCCCTCTCATGAGCAGGGTCTTCCGAGGGCTTAGAAGTTCTGGTCACCCCAGAGCTTGTCAGGGACCAGTACTGAAGACCCTGGAGCGTGCAGCCCGGGCCTGCTGGCTCAACCACGGACCATCAACATGGAATGTTGGGAGGGTTTTCTAAAAGTGCTACCTGTTCATTTGTTCAGTCGCCATTTATGAAGGGTCTCTGATGTCGCACTGGTGAAGTGCTTGGTTGCCAGCTGAAAGGTCAGTGCTTTGAACCCACTGTTGACTGTGGAAGCAAAGGCCGGGCCATCTGCTCCCGTAAAGGTCAACAGCTTAGGAAACCCATGGAGACACTTCCACCCTGTCTTGTAGGGGGCTCAGTGAGCCCACCCCATGACCCTGGGTTATTGGCTTATCCACTTACAATAGTAGTTTTAACACAGATTTCTTAATGGAATTCCGTACGTGCTTGTTTTTTTTCATGACCCTTCGTAAAGATAAAGACAGGCTGTTAGAGTTTTACAAATGATCTTCCTAATTTGAAGACAATTTTTTTTTTAATGTTGATTTTTAAGATCTCACCTGTTGGCTGTAGAACTGTGACGGCTTGAAAGTCGTGACAGAGCGCTCGGCGTCTCGTGAGCCCCCGGGTAAAGAGGCTCTCTGTTTCAGGAATTCCTTGAGTGAGACCGTCAGGCTGGTCAGCGGGCTGCAGCACCCAGGCTCCGCGGGGGGTGTGTACGAGACCACGCAGCACTTCAACGACATCAAAGAGCACCTGCACATTGTCAAGAGGGACCTGGACCACCTCGTGCAGCGGAATGCGGTACCTCCTCCCCTCAGCCCGGCTCTCAGTCAGGAGGCAGCTGGGTTAGTGGCTAGTGAGAAGGTGCCGCAGGGCTCATTCTCCCTAACAGCTCAGTGGGGGAGCCCTGGGGGTGTCGGCCAGCAGTTGAAAACCACCAGCCCTTTCTCGAGAGAAAGGCGAGGCTTTCTACTCCCTGAAGGGTTAGTCCTGGAATCCCGCAGGGCAGTTCTGTCCTGTAGGGTGGCCCTGAGCAGGCATCTAGTCGAGGCGGGGAGTTTGGAGTTAGCCAGCCCACTGGTGAGAGTGAAGGAAGCCGGGGTTCTGGTGGAGGGTGGGAAAGTGACTTTTCTGACCGATGGTAGCGGAAGCTCTTTGCCTCGTAGCCGTCAAACGAGAAGCTGAGGTGCCCCGAGCTGCCGCCGTTCCCGTCCTGCTTGTCAACCGTGCACTTCGTGATCTTCGCCGTGGTGCAGACGCTGCTGTTCATTGGCTACGTCATGTACCGGTGGGTCTCCTGGGACAGGGAGCAGGGCCGGGCTTCTCGGGCTCTTTGATCAGAAACACTCAACAAATAATAGAACCGTCGGGGTTTATAAAATTCGCTCTGTGCCCAGGAAGTATCCCAGGCAGCCTCTTTCTGGCCCCATGGCCATGCATGTGTTGAGTTTATGCCCACTGCAACGTGGGTGTCTTTCCAAAGGGCACGGTGTCATTTCACTATAAGATGTCCTCTACTATCCAAAGGAACGTATCTAGATCGTGTTCCAATACGTCTTTTCTCTCTCCCCACCTCACCGCACCAAATCAGGACACAGCAAGAAGCAGCCGCCAAGAAGTTCTTTTGACCACCGTTTGGCTGTGTGTGCATCGTGTACGTAAGTGTGAGCGAGGCTCTTCCCCGGGAAATTTAAATCGTTTCAGGGTCTAAATTACTCAGTTTGTACACACTACCTGTTTAAACATTGATTTGCAGTAAGAATAAATGCCAAGCTAAGACGCCGCCATGTAAAATTGTGCATGGTGCCTAAAGCTATACAAATTTCTGTGGGATCTGACCACTGAGCAGGCATTTCTGCTGAGTGGGAGGTGTGTGGTGGAAGGGGGAGCAGGCACGACTATCCAGTCTCCAGTGCTGGGGCTTCCTTATTTAACACACACACCCCGTCCCTGCAGTGGAAGGCCCAGCAAAGAGCCCATCAAGCTTACGTCATAACCCCAAGTTTTTTGTTTTTTTCTTTTCTTGAGGTCAGAAATCCTGTCTGCACCCCAGCCCCGCAGCAGTCCTTGAATCGCAATACAGTTTCCCTTGAGATCAGAGAACAGTCTGACAGTTTGGGAATCTGAATGGGAATCGGAATGCTTCTTGAAATACTTTTTCTTTCTGACTTATTGATTGTGGGTGTCATGTAGAAAGGAAATGGGGTGCAGGGTGGGGAGCATTAATAGCTGTGCCTAAAACAGCTCCAAAGCGCCTTGTGAACTCGGCTTTTGTGGGTGTCGGCCTGGTCACCAATCCATTTCAGGTTTGGCCATGTCCTTCCTGTCTCCTTCACAGCATGTCAGCTCAGGAATATGAGATCCAGTGTCCTTTGTGTGTCCTGGGAAGCACTAGTTCTTGCCTTTGGCGCAGCAAGTAAACTCAGCGTGCAGGGCATGGTCCAAGGGTGTTTTAAGTTCACGAAGCCGCTGTGTTTTGAGGTAGCTGGGCTGTGTGTTGATTCAGGTTAAATCAAGGAGCTATTTCAAGGATTTTAGAGGTCAATTTTGAGGAATAGCACTCATACTTCCTGCCCTGGCACGAACTAAGGGCACTATGAACCGCCAGCCAGCAAACTTCACGGTGAACCATCATTTGGGGGGAGGGGGGGTTGTTAGTCTTCTAAACGCCCTCCCCGCCCAAATGCAGGGTTCAGATTGCCTTCACAGCTCTTGCCAGGCTCAGAATGCCCTGTACATGCTCTCGCTGAAGTGTAGCGCTGTTTTACGGAAACTGCACTGTGTACCTCTTCCGAGCCTTCCCAAGTCCCTTCCCAGATGTCCCTCCCAGGTGGGGTCGGCGGGCGCACTGTGGCTGTGCGGTGTCGCAGGGTGGGTCTGTGTGACAGGATGGCGCGCTGTGCGTGCACACGCTGCTGGCCTTGCCGTGTTCTAGAGGAGAAGGGCAGGCGGCTCGGCCGCTCTGCCCGCGGCTGTCCCTGTGTGGTGGTAACGTTTGAAATTCGTGTTTCAGAGACATCATCTTCCCAGAATGTCCACTTGTCCCGTGAAAAAATGTCCAACCTTCCGAAGAAAGCAGTTGTAGACTGAAAATCTGCGGCCTCCTCTTGAGAGAAAAGACTTCCCAATCCAGTATTAGCAGGCCACGCAGACCTGACCATCCGAGGAACCGGATCTGTGCCTGCTGCAGACGTGTCAGCTCGCGGTCCTGGGCCCCATCTCCTCCCCAGAGCTGGCAGCAGTGACAACAGGCAAGCACGTGTGAGTGGATTCCCCGCTGGCGCCCAAGCCACACTGCTGTGTGTCATTTTTCACGTTTGATTGATTCTCCTCAAAATCACTGACTTGAGCTCATTTCTGGAGGTGCGGATTTGCTCTGTGGGAAAGTCACTGCCAGGACTCTCGTTTCTGTACTGTTTGTATAGTTGAATTTGTTCACTCTGACACCAGCAAGTGCTTTTACAGGTGCCTTGAATTAAAGCCAGATTGATTGTGAAACCTCAGTGTGCATCCCTGTGCCTGTGGCAGCACCTTTGCATCGGGAGGGCGCCTCCCTGTCTTCTCGGGGTGGGGATGCTCTGCTGGTGCCTCTGCACTGGGAACCTCCAAAGGACGACGGGGGGCCCGGGACACCCAGGAGGCATTCAGCTGCCGTAGGAAGGGCCGGAACTTAGAACCCTCCCAGAGGGCCACGTCAGACGACAGGCTTAGGATCTGCTTCCCCAAGGGCCCAGCCTCGCTCGACTCCCGTGCACATGTGGGCAGTCTGGGTCAGAAGTATTCAAGGCAGACAAACAGCTGGATATTGGAGTGAGCAAACACAGCTTGTTTGTGTTTTGGGGGGTATTTTTGTTTGTTTTGTTTAACGCTGAACTGAGAACCATAGGCTTTGGCTGTCGGTGGCATTAGCATTGGGGCCTTGGTTTGTGTGGCCCAGAGCCCTTAGCAATGGCCCTAAAGCTTACCTCCTCTTCCGGTCACTGTCAGCGTGGCCACAGCTCCCACCTCGAGCCTGCCTGCTAAAGCTGCGTTTTCCTGAGGGTGATTATCGTGGTGTTGATCTCAGCCGGTTGCATTTTTTGGTAACCTGGGGAAAACAGATTACTTGAATGAGGTCTGCAGAGCCCACTGTGCTGCTGAGAGAATCTCTGTGAAGAGCTTGAACAGTCACGGTTGTGGCTGGAAGATGTGATTCTCTTTCCCAGCCACGTGCTTACCCCTGGGAGAAAGTGAACAAATGATTATATTAGGGCTTCCTTTCCTTAGAGGATTCCTGGAAAATCAACGCTCTGACATATTAGATCCATATATTGCCTGTTCAGTATATTTCTTTTATGAGTTTTACTTAAAGCTTAAAAAGGTTTGCTATCCAATCTGAATTTCAATTCGATAACATTTTGTCAAAAGTTTTTCTTTCTCTTCCAATTGTTACTGAATGCTAGCTGGACTTAAAAACATGACATTGACCGTATTGAAATAAAGAAATATTTTAGTACATGTGCTTTTTCCTTTATTGACGTCAGCCCTGAAGAGCCACTTAGTGTCTTCATCGGCCCAACTTGAGGTCCTGCTTCCTCAGTAACGTGGCCATCCGGCCGAGGGGGCTCCCGCGTAGTCTGGCTGTCAGTCAAGAAGACAATGAATGACAGCAATGGGTTTGATGTCTGTCCCCTGTAATGCCGGTGGTAGTCTAAGTAAGCTAGAAGTCTTAGTCTTTGCTGGTAGCAGTGAAAAGTCTAATTATGTAATATATGTATATATGTATACATGAGAGAGCAAAGCACTATTTGACCAAGTAATTCCAGTTCTGAGGTGTCATGGATAATGGGAAAAGCTGGTGTCACCCTAATTGAGTTGGAAATCGGGCTCTCTGATGTATGAAGGTGACCCACAGATTCCTCAGCACTCATCTTTCAGAGTTGTTGGGCTTTCTTTTCTAATTCCTTTATTGTGAATTGGTTGGGGGCGATTTACATTTCTGACGATCAACTGCATTCAACAGCTCAAACCACTTAGCTTCTCTCCCCCTCCCTCCCTCCCTCTCTCCCTGGTCCTACATCCCTTTCAACAGCTGTGAGCCCTCTGTTCCATCTGCTACGCAAGCTTTGTCTTGGTTTTTATCCTTGGTGTAGTGGTCTCATACAATGTAGTTGTGGGGGGTTGGGGGAAGACTAGGTCCATATATAGGACCTAGAGACTAAGTGAGGGTTAGACTGATGGGGGCCCTGGGGATTGACTGTCTAGGCCTGGAAGAGGTAAGGGACTAACTGAAGAAGGGTGCTAGGACCTTCGAAGAGTGTCCCTTCTGCAGAAGAGGACTAACTGCACCCTGGCTTTGAGCCAGACAAGCCAGGGACGGGAGAAGAAAGTTGTCCTGCTGAGGCTCAGGGCAGGGAAGTGGTTTCCTGTTAAAAACGGAAGCCCCAAGCTAAGGTGGTGTGGCATTAGCGTATCCAACCTCAGGCTTCCTTCCATAAAGCAATATGTAATTTGCTTCTGGTCTGGGAAAATCCAGAAGTCTAAGCAAAACCAATCTTGAGCAATAATTCTACAACGAAGGTGCATTAGAGGCCCACAGAAAGGAGACAGGAGCTAGCCACACAAACATGGGATGAGAGGGAACTTGTGGCATCAGACCAGGTGCCATGAACAGAATGCCTGAGAAATGTTCTATGTGGGGACACACTGCACCTTTACACAACACACACGTCATAGTGTTTTGTTTTTAAATTAAAAGTAAGCCAAGCACAAAAGCACAAGTACAATATGATTCCACTGAGGTAAGCTGAAAAAAGCACCAGGGGCATAGAGGAACAGCCACTAAATACATGAAGTCCTCGGGTCCCGGGGCCAGGCCCAGGCACTCTGGCAGGGGTCAGAGCCAACCCAACTAAAAAGGAGGGTGGGGGGGACGTGGGTAGTTGGGGTACAGGGCATTAGCCCTCCCATGGGGAGGGAACAGTATGTCTCCACAGGAAAGGGAAAGGGACCAGCCTCATCCTAGGGTGCCAAATCTTGAGGGTAACACACCAGTATGAAGCAGCAAACTAACAGGTCTTCCGTCTCGGCCCGATCCCAGCTGTGTCATCCCCCTCCCTGGAAGAAGCACTGCAGAGAACAGCAAGGATACAGCCCCGGATGGGGGGGGGCCGGCCTACCCAG